TGTATGTACTAAATATTTTATAGTAATAAAAAGAGAGGATCTAGACTATTTGAGATGGCTTTAACCTTTTTTTCCCCTTACATATTTGTGCTATTTCTATAGGAAATTCCTTATAGAGTAGCTGAAAAAGAACAAAGGGTTATGAGATTTACAGGCTTTGCAGTTATTAAACTGTACAGGATCTTAAAAAGTTACTTGATGTCTCTGAGCTGGTTTCCTATTGGTGGTACTTCCTTCAAAGGCCATTGTGAGAATTATGACAAATTACATGTAAACTGCCCAGCCAGGAGTAGGTACTCAATGAATAGTAGGTCTTATTAGCAACAAGACATTACAATATCTATTTAAACATTAAAGAAATCCATCCATCATTCAGATAATCAAGTGGGGTGGTTTTTTTTGACAAAAATTTCCACAAACAACTAGGGCAATTTTTATTTTTATGATGATATTATAGCATTGCTAAAATAGCATCAAAATGAATCCTCATAGTAAAGCCTGATAAGTGTTGAATCATTTTTTTCCAGCCTTACTGAGGTATAAATGACAAAATCTGTATATACTTAAGGTATACAACATATTTTACACCACTTTTTTGAACCAAGTATTGAACTATTTATAACTTGAAAAAATACTCATCTTTAAGAGATGTATCTATTTCTAGACATAATTTCGTAAATGTCCTATAGCAAATAAAACCATTTTGAGAAGTATTCTTCCAATTACAGTTTCCAGTACACCTAACATTTCAGCATTTTCAGAATATCTGTGCTCCTTAGTACTAGACTTTGAGAAATGGCCAATTTGGGCATCTATTGATTACAGAAATTTCTACTTTTGTGAGTGTTTTATACATGAAAATACACATGTATATATTGTTAAAAGCCTAGAAAACTTTAAAGTCCCCATAATTTCCACTGAACTCCAGTGAGCATGTCATTTCTACTGAACTCCAGTGAGCATGTCATTTCCACTGAACTCCAGTGAGCATGTCAAATGTGGCATAAAATATCATGTTGAATACCTTAAATATACACAAGTATACCTTAAGTATATACAAGTATAAGCATCAAGCAATAGATGTATCTCTAAAAGAGTATTTTTTCAAGTTATAAATAGTGCAATACTTGGTTCAAAAAAGTGGTGTAAAATATGTTGTATACCTTAAGTATATACAAGTATAGGCATCAAGCAAAAATTCCAGGTAATCAAATTTGTCCTCAGCATTTTCCTTTCTCATACACACTTCTTATCTCCTAGGTCCTCATTCTCTAAGAGTTCAGTGACCTAACCTCCAGCTGTCTCTCACTTCTAAGTTTAGCACTCCATCCAGGACCACCCTATTTGAAATAAAGCTCTTTTTTTTTTATTATGTTATGTTAATCACCATACATTACATCATTAGTTTTGTTTTTTTGTTTTTTTAAAGATTTTATTTACTTATTTGACAGAGAGATAGCGAGAGCAGGAACACAAGCAGGGGGTGCGAGGGAAAGGGAGAAGCAGGTTCCCCGCGGAGCAGGTAGCCCGATGTGGGCTCGGTCCCAGGACCCTGGGATCATGACCTGAGCTGAAGGCAGACGCTTAACAACTGAGCCACCGGGCGCCCACATCATTAGTTTTTGATGTAGTGTTCCATGATTCATTGTTTGTGTATAACACCCAGTGCTCCATGCAGTATGTGCCCTCTTTAATACCCAAGCTTTTTTTTTTTTTTTTAAGATTTTATTTATTTATTTGAGAGAGAGAGAATGAGAGACAGAGAGCATGAGAAGGAGGAAGGTCAGAGGGAGAAGCAGACTCCCTGCCAAGCAGGGAGCCCGATGTGGGACTCGATCCCGGGACTCCAGGATCATGACCTGAGCTGAAGGCAGTCGCTTAACCAACTGAGCCACCCAGGCGCCCAATACCCAAGCTCTTAATTTTTCCAGGCAAAATTAGTGTGGTCTCACAAAATAGAGAATTATAATATGCCAATGTTGTCTCATGAGGTTGTATTGATTTACTAGCACAATGGGGTAGAACATGTAAGAACTGAAAGTAGATGCTGAAAACCAAAAATGAAACACTGAAGTTTTCTTTTTACATCTCTCATCAGAGGCTAACTTACCAGTATCCTCAAATTAGCTTCCCTGTTTTCTTCATAGATCTGAATGAAGCGATGACTCCAAGACCATGAGTGTTAATGGTCCTGGCCAGCAAATGTACCAGCCCTGTCACATTGGAGTCTGGGACAGGTAGACACTGAGTGACATTTTTGGTTAGCTGGAGGTCCTTAAACATGGTTCTCTGTATGAGTTATTCACTGTGGCTGCAAATCATTTGTCACTGCTACCCTTCCCATATGGCATTCCCATAGGCCTTCCCAAACTATTTGCAACCAAGGGGCCCAGTCTCTTGACCTGTCAGCACTGGTGCCTTTGTTATGGTCCTGACTGTCTTGGACTTTTACTTGGTTTAACAATCAGAAAGATAAACCAGATGCAGTATCTCAAATATTCACCAAAATAAGTTGAAATTAGTTTTAAAATATCTACTATTTGGTATGCCATAGTATGTATTTGAGAATCAGATCTATTTGCAAATAGCTCAGAATATCAGCACCAGGGGCGCCTGGGTGGCTCAGTCGCTTAAGCAACTGCCTTCAGCTCAGGTCATGATCTCAGGGCCTTGGGATGGAGCCCCGCATTGGGCTCTCTGCCCAGCAGGAAGCCTGCTTCTCCCTCTCCCACTCCCCCTGCTTGTGTTCCCTCTCTGTGTCTCTCTGTCAAAAAAATAAATAAAATCTTTAAAAAAGAAAAAGAATATCAGTACCATGTACAACCTTCAACATTATAAATTCCACCCTGGTGATTTTGCAGAACAAGAAACTGAAGCCCAGAGAAGTTAAGTGATTTGCCACCAATGACATAACATTTAAGTAGCAGAGTTTGGACCAAGATTTCTCGATTTTTAGGCTGGCTCTTTTTCTCTATTCTTCTCTCTCTTTTTAACCATACCTGATGATTTGTCAACCAAGGGGGGAAAAGGGTTTGCATGAATTCTTGTTCGTAACATAAATAGCCAATGTTAGTACAGCTGGTGGTCACCATGTCCATGCTCTATGTTGTTGACCCTTTGTTTGTAACTGGCTATTTTAAATAACTACCTCCTAAAAAAACAATTAGGCTTCTGTTCAATACTCTTCGTATATACATTTGGCAATTCTGCATTCTGTGAAGTTAACAACAATGATGATTTTGAGTGTAATATGTGGACATTCTACTTGAGAATGTTTCTGAATCACTGATTAAACCCCCACAAAATCATGACAATTAGAAATTGTGCATGCTAACATAATCATTTTGTTATTAAGTGGCTCTGTGCCAGCATTATCTTTTTAAAATTATAATACTGTGGCTTAGCTGTTATATTTTTTTAATTCTTTGAAAATAAGACCTTCGAAGATCATTCTTTTAAAATGTCAATTTATTCCAGTGTTACAAATGACGTTCTCAAACAGGAATAATTATTGCCAAAAGTGCTACTGGCAGACAGCCAAAACCTCTCCATAAGGCTGATTCCTTTCCTCTTTCCAGTAGTTCATTACCAAAAGTAAAGACTGAGTAGTATGCACCACATTAATGACCCCATAAATCCCTTGAGATGAGCAATTAATGTCCTGATGTTGATCAAGTCAACTACACATAAGGTGTGCATATATATATTTTAAATACAGCTCACCTTTTCAAAACTCTATTTCTATTGGTTCTGACTTCTCAAAGAGTTAAAGTAAAGGCTTCTGGGAAGACAATATATTGTAAAGTATACCTTCCTACCCTGCATTTTTTTTTATCACAAATGGAACAGTCATGGGCTGTTAAGCAACTTGGTTAAGCAACTGCCTTCGGCTCAGGTCATGATCCTCGAGTCCCAGAATCGAGTCCCGCATTGGGCTCCCTGCTTGGCAGGGAGTTTGCTTCTCCCTCTGACCCTCCCCCCTCTCCTGTGCTCGCTGTCTCTCATTCTGTCTCAAATAAATAAATAAAATCTAAAAAACAAAACAAAACAAAACCAAGTGGGACAGTCAGGTGTAACTGAATCAAAATTCACTAGATAAAATGAAAATCCTAATTAGATTTTACTTTAGATTAACAAAATTTGTGGTGCCTGTTGTTAACATTATATTTCCCTTGTCCCTACGATTGCTAAAAATACCAAATCAAACACCACCCAGATTTCCTTATGAAGTGTGTGAACTAGTGCATTAAAAAGTCATGTTAGCACCAACAAAGTTTATAGGGGCAACTGCATTCAAGACGCACATGGCATACCTTTAAATAGCGCTGTTAAAATACCAAATAAAATGTCAACGTCTGTCAGGTCTCTGGCTTTTATAAATTGTTTAGACTGGGAAACGTTGGGGTTTGGACATTGTTCTTTTCATATGATGTAGAAAAGAAGAGACCGTAAAAAGAAAAGAACAATAAAGCGTAGATCATTTTTGAAGTTCTTTCGTGGAAAAACATACCCTGGATCATTACCCTTCTAATCAACAATTTCCTTCTTCCTCCCAGTTCTTCCCGTCTGGTATTTACCTTTCTCCCCTCCCCCACCCCTCCCCTCTCTCTGGGTGGTATTCTGAGCTTATACATACTATTCAGTAATCATATTTTTTAAATTGCTTAAAAAGAGAATCCCAGGAGGACATGACAGACATGTATATACTGGGTATTTTTAACCTGGACCATAGCTTTACTCACCATTTCTGTGCTCTTAAAAACACACCAGAGTGCCCTGACCGCAGTTTCCCCAAGGAGAGGAAGGCCTTGTGAGCAAGATCAGCTACTACCTACCTACACGCTAGTTATTATCACACCTTAGTGGCCATCTTCCTGCCCTCTTCCCTCCACCCCTTTCCTTTTATTAGCACACCACACTCCCCACAATTCCCAAACAACAACATCACTGTTTCAGCTTCTTCTCTGGATTTCCCACACTTAATGCAACCCAGACCTCACCTTCAGCTCTCCTGAGGCCACTTTGGAAGCCAGCTCGATGACACAGCCAACAGCCATGCGTGCAGCACCGGACGAGTGCAGCTCATTCCAAATGGTGTCACTGTCCACCTGAGCAAACAGTCAGCACAGCGCGAAGAGAGAGAGAGGGAAAACAAGAAGGAGAACGAATAGATGAAAAAGGAAGGGCGGGGGAGGGGAGAAAGGAAGGGAGAAAAAGCAAATTTGTGAGGAAGGGCTGGCAGGGTAACAGCCTAGGTACAATAACATTAGTCTTCCGTCCCAGCCAGTTGAAAAGACCTTCTGGACACAGCTTTGCTTATGCTTTTTCTCTATACTGACTTCTCCAATGGAAACACATTCCTGCCATGCCTCACTGCCATTCCCTGTTTAGATTTCTCATTACAAACAGCATTACATAGGCCGGATCTGGCTTAGTTACAGGCCTGCTAGAAACCAGGCCCCAGTAGTAGATAGAGTAAAAGCTAAGAGCACTTAGCTATACATAAAAATCGGATTTGCAAGTGCTAGAGGGGAAAAATTCAAATACCTTTCTGGCTGCAGGTTTACAGGGAGCCAAAGACAATTATTAGGTAAGTAGTAGCAGCAGTCAGTGAGTAGGAAGTAGCAACCACAGTTCAGGTTCTCTACCTACATGGAAGGAGTGTGTGGTCCTCACACTTAAAAACATTCACCAAATTCAACTGCAAGGAGTAATTTGATTTTCAAAGTAGAAGCTTAAAATTTCTAACATTTAGTACAGTTTAGCGGCTGGTCTTAATGTAGACTGGTATTATTAAAATTGGATAGGCCATTAAAAATACATGGCTGCTTCTATAAGAGAACATTCTTATGAAAACAAAGCATAAACCAATACTTTTTATTTACCTTTATAAAACACTATTTACTCTCTTTCATGCATGCAGTAAGATAAAATGTAACAAGGACAGGAAAATGTAATAACAGTGGTCTATAATGATCATATGTTACATATTTTTATGTATAAAATATTTCTTAATATAAAAAAACAGAATCAAATGGTAGAAGTCTCTAAAGTTACAACACATAAATTACCTGAAGCACTAGGAAACGTAATAAAAAATTTGTGACTGTGCAAATAGCAAGACTTCTCAAATGTTGTAAAAGAAAGGAAATCCCACACAAAATAAAGCTGTTTTTTTTTAAAGAATTAAGTTAAAGAGGCCTAGTGACATGGAACAAATACAATAACAATTATACATATTCACAATGCACTAAGCAGTTTCCTAAGCATTTTAACATGCCTTTTCTCATGAGATCCTTACCAACTTAAACTCTGTCAAGATCAATGAATAAATAATAAATGAAAACAGTAAATAAATACATAAATAAATAGAAAATTAAGATCTTTTCAACAACAGCATAGTGGTGAAGAGAGACGTTTCTGAATCGTATTGTCAGGGTGAAGTTACAGCTTCACTGCTAAAACCTGACTGATGGTAGGCAATTAATTAATTAATGTCTCTCTGCTTTGGTTCCCTTACCTATGACACAGCAACTTTTTAAAGTACCATCTGCGTATGATTTTGGTGAGAATTAAATGAAAAAGTGATAAGCAAATCTTAGTTACTACTATTTAGGCTACTATTACACCCATTTTATAATGTCTAACACAGAGTAGAGGCCTTATAAGTGTTTACTGAATGAGCACACTGTGGCTTAGAGAGGCTACTCAGCTGGCCCAAGGACCTTCATAAAGAACCCTGACTCTGACATCACATGTCTTTCTACCACAGTCCTGAAATAACTCTCACTTTCTAAGAACATTAAGCCCTTGAAATAGTCAACATCATCATGGTCAACACTACCAGCTAAAAAATAATCATCAAATGGACAATAGAACCTAATCATCTGCCCTCCAAATTAAGTTTTATGTTTACTGAACAATATAAGCACTTATCTGAGCTTCATATAGATATATCCTTGAGGAAGATGGTTGCTCAAATTGCAAAATGAACACCAATATTTACATTGTACTGCATAGTTTTTAGCCAATTTTCAACTATTGCAAAGCTATAGGTGCCATAGAAAGTCCTCATTAATCAGATTTAAAATTATTGGGAAGGCAAGCAAACATAAATCAATAAATCCCAAAGACTTAATCGGTGAGTCAAAATCACATATAATTCCAAACCCCTTTTTATTTGACTTTGGAATACACTGTAAGTTTTTTCTTAAAAAAAAAAAAAAATCAGAAAAATTTCTTCCAAAAAGCTATAAACATACACTTGATTAGAAAAATATTCCAACACCTAGGAACAACATCTCTTTAACCATAATACTAAGGGGCATTAGATAGCCACAAATAACTCAAATTCACCTTTTTGTCTATATCTTTCTATCTTCTTGGAAGTATTCTTATAGAGGTAATACTCTGTGTCTATGCCATCAATTTTGGTGTGTGAACCTCTACTAATCAAGATACTTGTGTTTTTAAATTCAGCTAACATTTGTTAGGTACCTACTATATAACAGATGCTAAGAGTTATAGTATATGGGAGTTATTTTTATCATAAAGATATGATTATTGATTGAAAGAATGCTGGGCACACAGATGCTCAATGGAATGGATACTTGAGATTTTGACTACATCCAAAGTTCAGGCTTATCCCTAAATAGGTGCTCTTTAGGAATCTATGAAATTTATCATCCATTTATTTACTTATATTTAAACATAAAAAACATTTAAGTAACTTTCAACCAGTTTTATGTTTAGTTTGTAACTATATGGTAATAATAGTCAAGATTTTGCATATAATCTATTCATAAACAGGTAATTGTATGTAATTCTGAATTTATTAACAGATGTTGTCTTAGCTCAGCTGCCATAACAAAATACCATAGACTGAGTGGCTTAAATAACAGGATTTTATTTCTCCTAGTTCAGGAGGTTAGGAAGTCCAAGAAGGTGTCAGCCAATTTGGTTTCTGGTTGAAATTCTGGTTCAGTTCTCATCCTGACTTGCAGATGTCTACCTTCTCACTATGTCCTCACATGGCCTTTCCTCAGTGAGTGCACGTGGAGAGAGACAGATCCCACTCTCTTCCTCTTCTTATAAGCCCACCATTCCTATTAAATTAGGATACTACCTGTATGACCTTAATTACCTTAATTACCTTCTAAAAGCCCTATTAAATTTAAATCACATCAGGGATTAGGGCTTCAACATATGAATTCGGGGGGAAACAATTCAGTCCATAGCAAGATTATATCCGAAAAACGTTTATAAGTCAATTTATAAACATATTTTCCTAAGATATTGTGTTCAAAGGGTCATTAGCTACCAAAATTAGTTACTAAAAGTTACCCACATGTATTTGCCATGTTATAGTTTAATAAGAGCTCCAATGGTAAGAAAGCATGCATGGCTCATGAACTCTCCTGACTATAAACTCTGTCACTAGAAGAGACTCCCAAATCCACTTCCTACTATTCTCAATGGCAAAAAGTATTTCTTCTGCTGTTATGTCCCTCTTATTGGTTGGAGAGATTGCCAAAACCTTTCCCTGTATTAGTGATAGTGTCAAGAATGTCACTGTCATATGAAAGCTCTGATTTTAACTGCTGCAAGAATTTCTGACAGTAGAAAAAACTCTAGGTAAGAGAGGATGGTTGACTCCACTAATTGTTGGTGGTTCTTGGCATGGAATGGGATACTGAGTGGCTGGAAAAGAAGGAAAAAGAGCAAGAAGGATTAGATTTAGATGGATATATGTAAACGGGATTAAGGAGCTAAAATGGCAATACGATGATGGTGAAAGTTGGGACCAGAAGAACTGTAAGACAGGTGCTCTAGCATTTGAAAGTTGAAGGTAGAAAGATTAGGAGAGTGACACAGAGTTGGCTCTGGATATGGAAAATAATTGTAAACAATGTAAATTGTTTAGATTAGGCCAGGAAAGGGGAAAGAAATGGTAGTGGAGCAGAAAGCCATTCTGCTGACTACACTAGCTGGTTATTAAGATCTTGCTAAAGTTGTTAAGACATGCAAAGCAAATTTTTAAAACCAAACTACTATAATTTGAAAAAAATCAACGTGCTTGTATCTTTTTTCTTTCCATACACCACATTCACTTCTCCTTAGCCTGTCCACCAATTTATTCTTCGGCCTGATACGTGTGTGTGCACAGCCATGCACACATGTACATGTAAATTAGGAGGCAATGGTACACAGACTAAAAGGGAGATTAAGATTGATACAAAAGAAATGTGAAGAAACTGACATTCAAAATAGGATTTTGCATCAGTACACATAAAAATCTAGATTTCATGATCAAGTAGGATTTTTTTTCCCCAAATTCCTTTATGTATCAAGAACTAAGCCAGTGGTCTCAGATTATAGTCTTACGTTAGTGATAGCATCAGGACAATGCTACCATTGCCTTTCTGACACTCAGCAAAGAGACTCTTTCTACCTATGACAACCAGGCCTAGAGCTTATAGATTTAGCCTTTAGATAGGATACAATAAGAGGAAGAAAAAGCCAAAAGCCATCCCTTCAGGTCCGGAGAGACTGGAGAAAGGCAAACCAAAGGCGCAGCAGAAGCATCCCACCCGAGAACCCTGCCAGGCTTCATCTTGCAGTGAAATCAGGAGAAAATCAGCTGCTTCTAATGCTAGGCAATCAGGAACAATAAGACGCACCAGAGAAATTGCCACAGAAGCCTGACTATCCAGAGGAGAGCATGAGTGTCAAAGGACCTCATCAGGTCTCCATCCCTCCTTCGGATACCCAAAAGCCATCTGGAAGAAGAAGCTGAAAGACTGAGCAATTACCTAAAAAGACTGCATCCAATAGTAAGTTGATCTTGAAGTTGATCTTGAAGAGATGGATATATTAGTAATTGTGGAGAAGATCAGTGTAATGAGGAAAAATAGAGCATATTTATCACACATATGAATAAACATGACTAATTCTAATTTTGTGTCCCATTTTTAAGGTCAGGAATTTACTCTGCTGGATGATAGGGAAAAGGTCTAACCAGGATACTGCACAGAAGTCCCAAAGGATATGCTGTATACATGGCTAGTGCCATATAACTGTATTTTAGAATTAATGCGGCAATATACAA